GTCCTGATCTCTTAGGGGTGCTAGGAGACATTCATCTTGAAAGGGAGTATGCCATATTTGGGGAAAAACTCGTATGGAAAAATCGAGTTTTCTAGGTGCTTGTGTGTAATTGTAAAGGACTCCAACACACATGGAAACTAATTTACTGATACTGAAGTACATTCCTTAGGAGAGTCCTGTCATAGCCTCTGGAGGAAGGGAGATGCTGGCCAAGAGCCACTACTACAATCTCCAGGAAATTTCCTTAACCATGCTGAGAGGAAGGTAATGGGCAGCTTTGGGTGTATCCTTGCAAGATAAGGGGATGACCTGTTAGCTTGAAGGCTCTTGTATTCTTTCTAAAATGATTTACAAGTCCTGTTTTCCCACACGCACTACTGCAGTGATCTTAAAAAAAAAATCTTAAATTAAAAAAAAAAAAATAAGAGAGGAAAAAGCTCTGGTAAAGGCAGGATGCTCAGGCATCAGAAGCTTTTGTGGTAGGGTAGAGCATACAGAAAGACATTTATCATGTGAATCTGAGAGAGATGAGACTTCTCAGAGTCTGGAAGAGCAATTCCTGATTTGCTTTTGTTCTAATAACCAAAATTTGTCTTTCTGGTAACTATTGCTGCTGTTTCTTGAGGTGGGAGAGAAATCGCAAGAGGTTGGTGAGATGCTGACACATGGTCATGGCTGATCTACGGGGACTTTCAGCTTGTGCGTGGTTGCGAGTGGCAAAGTTTTGTGGTTCCACATTGAGAAAGCTGATAGCTCAAGGGCTGAGCCAGGCAGGCAAGGCAGCTGGTGTAGGATGGAGATTTAAAGACATAGTTGGAGCATCAGAAGTACACTCAACCTTGTTATCTATAACAGTGGAAAAGCTTATGTCAACCATAGATCTGCTGACAATAGAGCACAACCTTTTTATTTCATTGGAGGATTGGCCCAGGAATTGAATACCACTGAGAACAAAGCCAAACCTTTCAGTGAGATGTAGAGAACTGGCTGCCGCTTCTAAAAGTCGAAGGTTGTTAAAGTCTCAAACTGCAAACATGAAATAAAACTATTTATGTCAATTTTAGTGGTTCCTAAAATGCATTAGTCGGGGGGGGGGGGGGGGGGGGGGGTATTTGTTATGTCTGTGCATTTTTACTTGTCTTGTCAAGGCAACTTGTCCATATCGGTGGAAAGACATGAAAGATAGTGCTATTGAACCCCGATTTACTTCTGAAGTATTCAGAACAGAGGGACAGTGTGGTGAACTGCAAGTTTTTATTGGAATTCACTTGGAACAATCTGTGCAACTTGCAACGCCTCCATCCAAAACTTGTGTTATTCTCACGGCTTTATTGTCTTCTCTTTTCCCTTCTAGGTATGCGTATACATTTGTCTATATATTTGTATACACATGGTTTTATCCTTGGTTAATGTTTCCTTTTAGCAAATAGTATGGTTCTTTTGCTCCTAAACCAAGGACTCCACCATCCCAGTTTTTATTCCCTCTTGGAGCTCTGGAGAAGTTATCTGTAAAGAGGTGCAATAATCCTTTGTTCTTCATGCTTTTCTTCTCACCTTATGGATTTCGTCAGATATTAGCACAGATGTGTCTCTTTCATTGAATTCATAAATTAAATTCAACTTTATTTGTTCATTCATCAGATCACCCCCTATTTTGTTACTCCTTTGAGAAGAATCCAGCATGAATTTGAATTTATGAATGAAGATTGTCTCCCATGCTGACTGAATGTTCTAGGTTGTTCGCACATTTAACTGTTTTCTGCAGTTTGGTCTTGACCTTGTGGTCAGAAATTGCTACTTCTTCCAGCCAGAATATCAGGAGATCTTTCTTTTGCAGTTCACCTGAGATCTGTGTTACCCTCATTGGCTGCATGGGACCCCATCAAACTTGATGGATGAGCATGAGTAATAACTTTTCATTTTCGTCAGAGACATTTTTAGCTCCTTACAATGGAAGTATCATAACTTCCATATTCCAAAGGAGAAATCAAGGCACAAAGCTATTCAGGAGATGAGAAAAAGCATCCAGGTCTCCCAAGACTTCAGTGCTTTGGCAGCTACATTCACTGTTGACCTTAACCTGTGTCTTGATGTTATTCCACATTTCTCTCTAGGTGATGTATCTTCTTCATCTGTGTCATAAAACCCACAGCAGACTTAACATTATAAAATAACAGTGATTTTAAAAGTTCCTAATATGAGTTTATGTTAGAGCTCTGTAGAAATAATTGATTAAGTTTCAATTTATACTCAGAATAATAACGACATGGTAGTAAATGTGTTCATTGATATCTAATTTGGTGTGGCTAATTTCCTCAATGCCAGCTAAATGCCTGGGTATTTCTTATCACGTTAATGTATTATCCGAATCTTGTTGCACATTTGTTCAGTGCTTATGTAACTATGACTTAATTACATGGCAACTGAATTTATACCCTGGTATGGAAGGATTGCTCCTCAGACACTTTCCTCAGATAAACAATAGATAATTACCATGTTTCTGCTTTAACTAATGTAAATTATAAGATTAATTGAATGATCTTGGATCTAGCCTTGGTAAGGCATAAATCACTTCTCAAGTCATGCTGACCTCCCGCAGAGCCCACTGAAGTCAGTACTGTCCCTCAGCACAGGCTTTCATCCAGCTGTACAGAAATTAGGACTTTTGCATATGAAAATACTGTCCCTCAGTATGAGGGAATGACACATACATATCAATATGTAAAGTTTTGCTCATTGTGGCAAGAATTGCCTATCCCCACACCTCAGAGAATAATGTGCAACATGTTCTTGCACTGTGTGACCTACTTAAAACAAGTGGGAGTCAATATCTATTAACTTCTCTCTGTTATATCAGTCAATACTTTGTCCTTAAGCAGTTGTTTTCCTCTCCCTGCTGCACAGTTCATGATCATGGGGAGAAAGGAACTTTCCTCACCTCCATCCCTCAATGGTTTTTCCCATTAGTACAATCAAGTGGACGCTGATTTCCAAACTGCACCCGAGACAAGACAGACAAGTGTGGGAGGGGGTCACTGCAGCTTTCTCAGTGCTCTCACCTGCTGGATGAGCAACACCGACTTTTAGATGTTTCTTATCTCCTCCTCTCCCGGTGGGGTGGGCAGCTTTTGTCAGGATTCAGCCCATAGGTGTGTTGAACAGCCTGCGAGCACCAACAGGGATGGGAAGAGCCTCTGTGCAGCACGATTCCTGAAACGGCGGAGGGAACGCGCACGGAATCGGAGATGCTGGGAAAAAAGCATGAGTGATTCTTCAAGATACTTAAATAATGTTTCAGGACTCAAGTGAAATGCTCTCGTTAGGCCCTCTGGAGGAGAATTTGACATTTTCCGTGCCACCTGCAAGATTAAAAGAAAATGCTGTTGGCTTCTGCATTGTCTCCTGAAAGGCACAGAGGCTGACAGAAATGTAATTAAATTACCTGCAGCATTCGTCTGTTGTCATAGCAGCGCTTGCAATGAATATAACAATAATTTCATCTACAGCTTAGCTTAATGCAGCTTTACCTAGACCAGCCAGAAAGCAATTTTTTATCCCATATCTGGCAGAGAGAGAGGGTTCAAGAGTTCCCATTTCAGTTTCACCAACAGTGCTCTACAACAGTGTAAAATCAGATTGTGGCTTTGCTGCATTCCTCCAACATCAGACAGCACCCATTGCCTGTGGGTTATCCCATGTGACTGAGGAGGTCACATTAGATGATTATATTTTCTCTAGCCTTAAAAATCCCAGAATCACTGTATCAACTTACATGCAAGAGATGGAAGCACAGTGCAGTGTTTTTTCCATCTTGATTAAGTCCACCAAGAAGATCTGGCTGTGCTATAAACATATGCCCTTCATTTTGCTGGAGTTTGGGTGTGTGGAACACCGTGAGGACACAGCAGTTCTGGCACTGATGGAGGGCACAGCAGAGTGGGTAGAATTTGTGTGTGTTTTTTTTAAAAAAAAACCTTGCCAAGTAGTATGTTTCAAACTGAGATGTTATTGATGGACCCAGGTGGCTCCAAGCATTTCATGACTGTCCTTTGGTAAATGTGCAGTGAGCTCCTTGGCTCAGTTCAGTACCCCATAAGTAACGGAGTGGTACCCATCGCTGTGCTTCGCAGAGAGGGGCCAGCAGACTGTCTCTGCAGAAAGGCTACAGGACTAAATGATCCTGAACACCTGGATAATGTCTAATACCTAAAGATGGAGCATTCGTTAAGTCCAAGAAAGCGTAACAGGCTAATACTAATTTTCATGACTTACCCTTCTTTGGATATGGAGGACTTTTCATTGATTTATCACTGTAAGAAATTTCAACAACTCACTTCATTTTGCTGATATTCAATTTTTTTTTTCTGCTGTTTATTTACTACTTTCTTCTAGAAATGACTGTTATTTACCACCTTTCTCAATTAAACAGCCACACAATTCAGGCATGCAAGAGTAACATTTCAAAAGAACAATTAAAAACAAGTCAAGAATAGAAGAATATGATAAATGAGACATACAGCATCTGCAAGAAATCTGTGGCTCCACCAAATACACCTGGGAAATATCCCCTTCTGTTTGCTTCTATCCATTCCATTCCTGTTCGGCAGCTTTAGAGAACTGAGGTTCATCCTACAATGACTTGTTTTTATCTCACATATTCAGGAATTCACAAGTTGAAGAGTGTTTAAATACCATGTGAAAAAAGACTAACTTGTGCATGGCTAAGATAAGCAGATTTGTAAGCTGAGGCTTCTCTGAGCCTGGTGTATGGAGTATTCTTCCTTCGGGCATGCTTTCTCTCTCTGGAGCACCTGGGTGTAATGACCTTCCCAGGCTAAACAATACTAAAATGAGTTGTTGCAAATTGCTTATGTGTTGTCATTTTACTTTTCTTTTTATGAATAAACCTAATAATACATCCACATGCACAGTACCTTTTCTATGATGCTCTCAGATGCTTTATGCAGGTGCGTAAATCATATTTATTCCTGTTTTACAGATGAAGTAAGAGGGATAGCAGTAACAGACGAGCACAGCTTGAGCCTCACGCAGGGGTAGCAGGAGTTAGATGAGCACTTGTCATGCTGGACCATACCAAGAGTACTTCCTTAGAGTTTGGTAAGTATCAAGTAAGTATCAAAGGCAGGTCTTGCATCAGATTGTAAGTCTAGACACGTCTGTCCATCCTTCTGGGCTGACTCAGGGGCAGGTAGAGAACAGCCGTATTCCTTGAGCTAGAGAATAAGGGAGAAATATTGTTCCCTACCTCTGCTGTGCCCCCACCTCCCACTAAAAAGGGGCTAAAGTATCTTTGAGAAAAGCATCAGGAGGCGAAGAATCTATTGTTTTCCTTCGTGCTGTTCCCCTGGTTTTCCCTTAATTTCTTCCTGACTTGAAATCTGGGGAGCACACAGTCACCCAGCTTGGGAACTCATGCCCCCTCTTACCAAGGGATTTGCTTAGAGAGATAAACACAAGCACTCATCCGTCCTTTGTGGCTAGAATGAATTGCTGTTCATATACAAAATTTGCCCTTTCTGTGTTCAGATATGAGCTGGTCATTGGTCAACTCCAGTTCCCATTTGGACCAAATATGATAAATTCAGAGCTATAAAAATGATTGTGAGCTGCAGCCAAGTCAACTTGGATCTGTGAGGTTTACAGGTGCTTGCTCACTGAGAAACCCTGCTCAGTGGCCATCAGTCAGTGCCCGCAGTACAGAGCAACAAAGCTTCTGAGTCCACAGAAGTTTTACTCTGAGTTGTATTGTAGAGGCTGGAGGGTCGGAAATAACAAAAATGTATCAAGTGGCTTTAGCCATCATGGCCTGTCTAACCTACAAATAATACATTTTCTTGTGATTTGCCTGCTTTGAAAAAGCTCCAGTTTCTTCTTTGGAGGATATTACAGCTTTAAATCAATGCAATTTGACTTAAGTAACCTCCCCTTGAGAGGCACCATCAGCAGGTTTGTTCCACAGCTCGCAGAAGCAGCTCTTGGTGGCTGCGGTCTCGCTGGCTGCTGGGCTTGTATCCATGAGGCTGCAGCCCTCATTTTCTGCCACATCAGGGACTGTGGGGAAAGCAAAGAGCCAGCCTCCCACATCTCCTTCACAGTCCCAGGACTCCTTGGCTGTTTGGTTTATGATCTGTTAAGGCGTGTTGGAAATGGAGAATATGTTTCAGGGTTTAATGAGAGGAGCCGCTCATGAAAATTGAGACCTGAAAAAAGAATTGAATGCCACCGGTATTTCTGGTCTGATACAAAAATGAGGTCAGTTGTGAAAGAGAAAATTAAAGAAAAATAGAAGTTTAAAGATCCAACGGTAAATATGCTGAAGGTCATGGGACATAACAAGTTAATAAACTCAACTGGATAATTTAATTCAACACAAAGAACGCATCTGTGTGCACTGAATAGTAGGTAAGAATTTGACATGACAAGATGGGAAGGCTTTGTTATCCTTTTGTCTTGCCGGGATTTGCTTCAATTATGCCAAAGAATGTTACTTCATTCTTGCCCTAATAACACTGTAGAGGAAATTAAATTACTCATATATAACAAAAGTGAACTGATTTTGACATCTCTTCTAGGCAAACCTCCCGCTGTATTAGCTCCTAAGCGCATTCTCCCTCACTTAAGGTCTCATGCATATGTATGATTATAACTCATAGTAAATATAAGCACTTTGCGAGAACACAAATTAACCGCGGTATGTAATGGAGGTTGCCAAGGGTATTTTTTATTGTTGACTGTAACATGAAATCTACAATACGGGTACAATAATGAATGGATCGTGAGGCATGGAGAAATAATCCCGTCAAAAGGTTCTCTGACACCAGAAACCATAACAGCAAAACTGATGTCAGTAGAACCTTGAGCTGCTTTTATTGTGCTTTTATTTCACTTAATTTTAAAAGTAGCTTTGGTTTAGCTTGAAATTTTTCTTTATACTTTTATAACTCATTGGTTGGTGAAAACAATTAAAGGCTGTAGAGCTAAAAAAGAATTAAATTTATTTTTTAAAGTCTGCCAGACCTTAGCCTTTGGTTTTAGCTAGATTAATAATGGTGGGTTGTCTGATGTGATGGCTCTTTCTTAACATTTGATTGCTTTTTCATTATATTAGCTAGGTTTTGGAAAGTTTGTTTATAGTAAATTTAGCCTCCAGAAATAAACCTCGCAACCTTGAAACTAAAGTTGAACCCTGCAAGTCACAGACTTTTGCATCAGTGCTCTTGCAGGCTTTCATTAGGAGGAAGCTAACACAACACAGCATTTAAAACAATGGAGCTTGATTTTTAAAACCTAGCGCATTCTGAATGCAGCTCTCAATCTTTGTTCTTTCAATAGAACAGCCTCTTATTTGACCTTTTATTTGGATCCATCCCCCTGCCCAGCAGTACCTCCATGTTCAGAGTCTGCCCATGCCAAGGACTGTGCTAGGAGGGGTTTTTGCTGCAGCTGAGTTTTGGGGGTAGATGCATGTGGCTTTCATCACCCATAAACTGGTGTGCTGGACAGTGAGAGCTCGTTTTGAGATTGGCATTGCTGCACTATTTTCTGTAATTTCTGTCTTGAACCTCAGGTTCTTCCTGTGAAGTGGGGATGAAGTTTTAGGGGCATTGCTAGGCTGTTTGTTTTAAACTCAGTACGAGGAGAGTGGGGGCAGGCAGGAAAGGGGTCAGTAATTACCTGGGTGTAGCAGAGGGGAGTGTAAACAGCTCTGCCTGCCTTTTCCTAAGAATCACAGCACTGCTGTCCTCGGGAGCGAGAGACAAGTCCTCTTTAGGCCGTGATGGATCTCCCCGTGCACAGGGATATACAGCTGTTGTCAGTCGTGGCATTGTTATAAAGGAACCGATCAAAGAAAAGTAGGCAGCATATATATTGCACGGGAGGAGGAGGAAGAGGAAGGGAGTTGAACTTTCATTGAAAATGGCAACATCCTCTCCATCCATGATTGAGAAGATGAGAAAAATGGGAGAAAAATGGAGACAGAGGTCCCTGAGTTAACTGTAACCTTGCTTTGCTGCGGTTCAGCATCACAGGCTTCTCTGCAGAGAACATGGTGCAGGTCAGCTCTCGGCACAGAGCAATTGCAAGTGGAGCCAGACGGCAGAGAATGATCATGGAGGCACAGCAGAGCCTGCTCGCGGGTCAGGCTGCCGCACCCGGACCATCACACATCCGAGGGCTAAATCATTTTGATGCAGCCTTCAAAGAGTAATTCCAAATGTCAAGTATTGTATAAGACATTTACAAAATAAATGAAATATAGAAACTAATAGAGAATGAGATTTCTGCTTATTTTATCCATCATCATTTTTGTTTCTAAAGCAAAATGAGTCTCGCACGCAGACGATGGGGGAAACACAGGGTTTTAATGACACTTACAGCATCCCAAAGGACCATTCAAAGCAACAAAAAACCCTGGTGATGTCCTTAAAGACAGCAGATGGTTTCTTCAAGGTGAATAATTTTATTGTTTATTGCCCGCTCTGTATACTGCAAAGAATGACATTTAAGAAACTGCTCAAAGATGTGTTTTTCAAAGCACAAAGAAAACATTTAGGAGACAAATTATCTGTACCAGTGACTGTGTCATCACCAGAGCTTAGAGTCTGGCTTAGAGGCACATAACAGATTTGGGACAGTGAACTTTCAGAAAACGTGGAATATTTCTACCAGCTTCATTGTCTTTGCAATGACCTCCAGAATGGGCTCAAAATCTGGAGAGGAAGGGAAAAAGAAACTCCCACACCCCCCCCCCAGTCTGAAACCTGTAGTTAGGCAGCAGCAGTGCTGTCACGGCACCATTTTAAAATTGATGGCATGCAGCTTAGTCAAAGAAGTGTGTTAAAAAGCTTAAAGCACATTGAATACCAAACATAAGGCCTGTTGCAAGGAGGTGGGGGTTTCACTGTAGTTCATGGCTCAGGGGGCTTTGTGACAATGTCATCGTTAATGGAGGGCATGGTGGCTGCACTGACGTGTGTGTGTGTCTCTGTTGGGATGCGTGTGATGGGCTTTTCGGGTAGGATGCTCCTGGAACATGGTGAGGGTCCTCCAAAATGCAGCCAGGTGAGTCCTTCATCTGGGTTTAGATTGATATGGGCTCACAGAGTCAGCTAGTGATTAAAAAAGCCAAGTGTTCACAGAAAAAATCTCAGAACTAGAATGCTTCTACATGACACATGAAAATACAGCCTGTGAGAAAAAAGTGTTATTGCAAAAGCAGGTGATCTTATGAAGCTTTTGTTATAGAGCTTTTTTCTTTTTTTCAGGACAATGAAACACCATTGGGAAGCTTTCCTTTTCCAAGATATTTCAAAGTTTCCAGATCTGGCCAGAAAAAATAGTATATAGTGCAATAACACCTGGAAAGTGTCCTTAATTATCCTGTAAGCTTGTGTTCAAAATGTCATCAGTACTGAAGAATTTAATGCATCCATATTTGGCCAAACCTTCCACTCCATTTTCAGGGTTGGGTGAGTTTTTATTTTTCGTCTTCATATTCATATTCTCCCTTCAATTCCTGTCCAACAGATATCTGTCACTTCTCCAAGGAAGTATTATCTCCCAATAGAAATTCAAGCATGACCTTTTCCACGGGTAAAAAACTTACCGCTCACCAGTGCAAACTGTTTTGAGACTGTACCTCCCTGATGCTCTGTCTAAAGTAGTCTGCTGCCAATGGCTTTAACCAATTTGTTCTGATTCTGCAGTCAGATTTGAAGCCTGTAAAGCAGGCACGTCCTTTTGAAGAAAAAAAATACTCTCTGAAGGTAGAAGAAAGAAAGTATCTGTTTATAACTTTTTTTGTTTGGGTTTTTCTTTTTTAAAAAGAGTTACTTCTAGAAGGATGGTGAAAAGGTCACAGCGGAATTACAGGAGAAAGTGCCCATAGATCAGCCGTACAAGCTGCTTTCAAAGCAAGTTTTCAGGACAAAAAGATAAAACATAATCAAAGACAACAACTTCTTTTCCTTTTACCTAAAAGGCCATGTGAAATCTCAGCCTTGAGAAGGATGGAGGGAGACGCAGCCTCAGACCAGGCAGAGCTTCACTCATCAGCTCTCTGCATCAGCTCAGGTGCCATGTGGCTCCCGACGCCTCGCCTCTACGGTCAGAGCAATGCACCTTAGGAGAATAAGTGTATTATTTCTTATGTTTGTTTATTTTTTTTAAATAAAATCCCTCAGGGAGCCCATCCTACACGGGTGTGAGAGGCCACCGCAAAAATTTAGTCTTATCTCTTTTTTTTGTTTGTTTGTTTTCTGATGCAAAGATAAGAGCTTCTCTTGGAGCAGAAAGTCTGGGGAAAATTAATGGGCATGTGCTGAGAGAAACCTGTGAGACATTAAATGAAAAAGAAGCAGCAGGAAGGCAGAGAAAACATGGGCTCTGGGGTTATTGCTTTCATTTTTACCACTTATGCAGGAGGCCTGGAGTAGGGGGTTAGCAGCTGGAAATGAGTGAAGCAGAAGGCAGCCCTATACAGCTTGCTAGTGAAAATTAGTTGGGGAAACACTCTGTTAAATCCAATAAGCATACACATGAAATCTAACCCAGAAGTACTTCACTGTAAGAGTTATGTGCAAATTAAATGATAGCAAAGAGAGGGAACTTCGTACTCAAAGAGACATCATCAGGAATGGTCGACTTCCCTCGGCACAGCCAGAGCCGGGCTCGCCATGCTGCTGCTGCCGGAGGGGCTTGGGCTTTAGTTCAGATGAATCCTGTCCTGCCTTTGTCTCCCAGGGCTGCGGTCACATATCACAGGGGAGGGGAGGCAGCAGCTCTGCACTGTGAGATTTAAACACTGGTCCCCAGCCGACCTGCTAAGCCCGAGCTCCCTTCACCTGAGCACATATATAGTCTGAAAAAGCACACTTTGCCTTTACCGCCTATAAACCATTAAAGCTATTTTCCTAATTGGCTTACAACTGTTGTAATGTAAGAGTTTTAACACTGTGAATAACGATTGCATTATGATTAGATAAGCAGTTTAAAAGCTCAGAGTGCTGAATCATTGCATTTATTAATTGTGCTTACTCATTTATCTTTGTGCTTTATTTATTATGATAGAGTCCCTGAAACCTTAATAAAATTGATTCACAAAAAAAATCTCATTACTTGAAAAAAAAAATGTACATTACTCTTTTAATCAGTTCAGTTTATGTGACCCTGCACGGAAGGCTCTTGCTATGAGGCAGGTGTGGTGCAGAGGTTCAGCATTGTGTGTACTGAAGGCTGCAGGGTTGAGCCCCTCAATATGAAGCAGACCTGTCCTTTCTCCTCTGACAAATACTCTCAGAGAGGATCACGGGTATAGCTGGATAATTAAGCTGGTAATTTAAACCATTAAGTCTGATTAATTTATTTTTTAGACCAGTTTCTAGTCTAAAAACACTAAAAAATTCTAGTCTAAAGCAGGAGCATGGCAGTCTGCTTTTAAACACAAGGCTAAATCTTAATGTCCTTCCTCTGTTTGAAGGGAAGGGTGAGGGTTTATGCTTTGTTTTGTTCCCCTAACTGAGAAGAGATCACACTGAAACATAAAGAAGGACTCAGGTTTTAGCCTTGTGTGTACATTTTTTTAAAGAAGTGGCAAATTAAAAGTAATGACTTGGGCATTACGTGTTTGCACTTTCAGCTGGCCATAATAAATCTTTACACTGAACTGTCGGAAGTATTAAATCACTACAGAGAGGCTTGTCCTTGTTCTTCACTGCAGAGACAATAGGATTTTAATAAACAATATCTTTGATTAGGTTCAGGAGAAAAGCCAAGGATAACCAAGTATTTGTAGCTGTCAAGGATTCGGCAAGAATCCTTATAATTCACCTTGACTGCAAAAAGCTCTTACAAACGCACGTGAGACTTGATAATAAGTTTTGGGTGCTGGTGAGAGAGGGTTTCTCTGAGCCTCCGCATTTGTACTGCTGGAAACTCACCTGCGTGTAGCGACAAAGCCTTTTCTGATTTTCCCCTGTACATTGTAGAAAATACAGAAATATTAATATCCCACCCAAAGTTTGTGATCTGTAAAATGAAAGTGTCTTTCTAAAAATAATGGTGGACCAACATCAGTGCATTAAAGCAAAAGCAGTACAAGTGATGCCCATAATTCACAGGGTCACCTAGAGAGCCGTTATCCGCCAGGGAAAGGCTGTTGGAGGACTGCAATTCCCTCCTTGCCATACAGTGGCTCAGGTGACTGCTGAGCTCAAGGACTCACCGTTTGCTCTCAAGATACAAACCCAGCAGGCCACCTCGTGCTATTGTCAAGTAATGATCAAACAAACAAACAAACAAAAAATAAAGCTGGCTGTTACATGGCAGATGGTACAGAAGACTTAATCCTGCTTTAAAATACAGTAATGTGGTCCTGGTCAGGGATGCAGAGGAGCACTCATTTATTTGGTTCCCAGGAGCTGCTGCTGCTGGAGTAGAAATGTTTCCTGAGTCGCCCAAACAAGTACAAAGATGATGCTGCAGCTTTTCCATACTATTAAAAATTAGGACTATTTGGGCCAGTTGCCATGGAGTCTGCTCAGTTTGAGGCTGGCTTCCCACTGGATACTGAGATGGCAAAAGTCTCAAGCAGTTGATGTGAGTCAGTCTGCATCACGCTAAATACTTGGCTTGTAGCAGTGCAGGCTGGGTTCAGGGCAGTAGAGCCTTTTCCCAGCCCTGTGGGAGAACTTTTCTTCTACCAGCCCAGCCCTGCAGTGTCACTGCTTGTCACTCTGTACCTGCATACAGCTGCAGAAGTTAGGTGGTAATTTAAGCCATAGATGCTATGTGTTACTGTACTAAAAGGCTCTTGCTAGTTGCTCCAGAGTCTGACTTCCAGGGCTTGTGTGCAGAGGCTAAATATTGAAATCTCCTTTTGAAAAAAGAAATCTCGTCTTAAATACAATGATTTGAACCTGCGTAGAAAATACAATCATAACAAATGCTTATTATGATAAATGGAGTCATGTTCCTCAAAGAAGAAACAATCCATAAAAAAATAGCCAAGGAATATGAGACCTGATGGGCTGAACTGGTTTGATGAACAGTAATGATACATAGTCACCAAAAAAGATTGGCAAAATGCACTTTGACTTAATTTTTAAGTTGTTTAATATTCTCATGATATCTGTAAAAGGTTCCAAGACAGACTTTACACTGCTTTAAATGTATTATTGTTTATGTTCCAGCCACAAAGAATAGGGCTGGAATATGTAGCCACTACTTAAAATGAAATAAATGCTCAAAATGAAAGCAGGCAAAGAAAACTGAGAGCTTTTGTTTCAGAATAATGCCTGTCCCAATGGGATAATTAATTTCCCTTAGAGCAGATTGTTATTTTTCAAAGATATTATACTTACGCAGATTTAACTGTAGAAACATTATATTGTTGTAATTTCTCCAGTGTGATGCAGCTCTAATTATACACTGCTCAGAGCATGTAAAGGAAATAAAAGACGAATAGCAAGTTAATTTTTATTTTTAAAATAAAGATAAGTTTTAAAAAAAGAAAAACAGACCATCATATATCAGACTGGGAACAAGGATACATTTCAAGGAAAGAGGAGGTGCAGTAATTCTGGTGTTCCTGGGAGGATGTTGTCAGAGGTGAGCTACAGTCTGGAAAGAGGCTTGGGGTTATTTACACCAGCTACAGCGGGATGAAAGAAGCACACTGCCAAGCACGTGCCACCAAGCGCAAGGGCTAGGACACTGTGCCTCTGTCACCCGTTTCTTTGGATTTACACTTAATCTGACTATCTATGTATGTTTTGACAAATCTTCTCCAAGACTAAGGATGCTGTGGTGCCTACGGGGCTGTTTGGCCTAAGGCTGCTGGATCAAATGTGCTCCCAGGACGGCATCTCTCAGGCGCTTCAGACAACAAACCCCTGTTCACAGGTGCTGTTTCTGTGTCTGTCACAGTGCTGGTTTGTGCCTAGGGTTTATGCTGTACCCTTGAAGTAATCCAAGCATTTGAAAACCCTTTTCTGCCTCATTTTTCCTTGCCTTTCCAAGGCCTTATGCAATCAGGTGCTGAACACCACCAGCACCTGCAGAGGTATGAAGCTCCTGATCGATCTGCAGGTTGGGGTGATAATTCTCGGTGCAAACACATTCTTGAGAGCTTCAACGCATCTGGTGAACAGCTTGGACGCTGCCTCCTGTTGAAAGCATAAGCCTTAATGCATCAGTGTGTGAGCACGGAGCAGCGGGGAGAGCTCCGTATCTGCCACGGGGTGCTGGAGCCAGTTTCCCTGGTGGTTTGCCCCACCGTGACTGCAGGCACGTTGCTTGTGCCCCTACAGCAAACCTCCAGAGTGGAAGGCGCAAAGCCAGCAGGTCTCACCCTTGAAAGCGCCATGATCATCACTGGAAAAGGCTTGTGGGGATTGCAGTCCCATTCAGCTCCGAAACCTCCATCACACCGGTCAGCGCTGGCTGCTGCTGAGGCAGCAGTTTCAGAGGGTTATTAGAGCACTGGCCATGGAGGTGCCATGGGACACTGACAGCGCCCTGCTCTGATGGGAAGTCACAGCGTCGGATTGTCAGGAGCTGGAAATGAGTGGTGCTTGGTGCCAGGCTTTCCAGATCTGCCACATCGCCGGCACATAATGACCATCAAATGACTGTTTTGGAAAAGTTTTTTTTTTCTCTTTCAGCCACACGACCCTTAAAAATACTCTTGATGCCAATGCAGCGTTGCCTAGGGACTTGCACATTTTTTTCCTCTCCCTGTCTTCTGGTCTCCTCCTGCAGATCTTGGTGCAGGTATTGAGGATGTTGACCTGAATCATAACAGACCAGCAAGCTCTTTCCCCTGCTAACCCCATTTCTGACCAGTCATTTCTATACCCCTCCTCCACCAAAAAGGAAGATTAAAACACTGCCCAGTTTCTTTGTCGTATGTCTCACAGCACCCACCACCCACCTTCACAAGCCCATGTCACTTCCATCACCTGCTTGAACATTAGATTCAAACTTTTCCAGCTCCAGCAAGCGGAAAAGGCTGCTTTGCCAAGAACAAGCATCACCTTTACCTGCAGGAAGCTGAAAGAGATTTCATTAGACATTCTATTCATGATTTAAAGATTTAAGGATTTGATTAAAAAATGTTACTGTTTTCCATGAATAAGCCCCAGCTGCCACACAACAGGAAAAAGCCTTTATCAGAAACCCAGTCTGGTGCCACACAAGCCTCTCTTCCCTTTTACTTCCTTTAGTAGATAGCTCATTTTTAGGGGGGAAAAAAAAAATCATTTTAATTAAGTTGAGGAATATCCTTAAACTAGGCATGAGAACTGAAACTTATTATTCCTGATGGACAGGACATCAAGGTTATGGTTCACACTGGAATTTAATTCACTGTTCACATAATATAGCCCGAAACAGAAGGAGAGACTACAAGAATACAGATTCGGCATTTAAAGCCACCAGCGAGCCCACATGGGAGGTAACCACCGTGGAGGTTATCCCAGCTGTGTCTGACAGGAGCTGGAAGCCGTACGGGGCACTGAGCCCTCTCCAGCAGTCCCCCAGTGAGGCACCATTCTGCCCAGCAGCGCTCAGTGCCCACCCCACTGTCACCGGTCACACAGCCCCCCCAGCACGACGCGTGGGCCGCTACTGCCTGGGTCAAGATTATGGGACTGATGATTTCCCTCCAGCTCTGTTTGCACACCTCGTGAATTCAGAAATTTCGTCAGCATTCAAGCCAGGAGGAGGTGTGAATTTCTGTGCACCTACTCTTCTGAATTAGCCGGTGCCTCTTGGCTCCAAGTGCACAGCCTGAGCCTTCTTCACAGCCACGTTCCTCTGGGTGCTCTCAGTGACTGGCAAATGACTGGGTTATTGGCCGGAAATCTTGCCTAGCTCAAAACAGCCCTGCAACGGTAAATCTGCCAACGCTGCGCGCCTGCGAAAGGCAGGTTTCCCAGGGAGCTGCTGCACAGAGCTTGTTTATTGAGGTGCCGCAAATAGGTCAGTGATGTGG